CTCCTTGTTCGGATTGCAACTCTTTTATCCCTGGTTCTCAAAAGATTACTCTGTTAACCACTTAATCCTTGTTCCATCCGAGTTAACCAACTAAGCGAAGATTAACTCAAGATTTCCCTACACGAATTAAGCAAACATATACAACATCAACCTCTTCACAGATTAAGCAACTGTGGCATTGAGCACAACCCATTAAGCATGGACACATTGATACTGAGGTTAAATGAAGAAGACAAAGCAGAAAGAGATATACAACCATAACCGAACCTCAAATAGAGATTACAATCCGCAACAAGAAGCCAACCCAGGGTTTTTAGCCTTCCATTAAAATAGCACAAAAACACAAACGAAAATGCAAGGCAGAGAAGGAAAATGAAAATGAAATGAACAATCTATATTCTTCAAATGTTCAGAGAGCAAAACGAAAATGAAAATGGCAGCTCAGAGAGCAAAACGTAAAAGAACAAAGAACCCAAAACCAGAGGGAAGCCAAAACGTAAAGGAATAATAATGAGAAGAGAGCAGTTACATAGTCACATCAACCTCTCATGTTAGTGGCTGCCAAGTCAGCCCTAACCTAGACCTAAATGACCTAAAATGAAATTGGGCCCCAAACAATTACAAGTCTGACCCAACAACAATAAAATAGACTAAAAACAAAAGATGAATGCTAAGGTGGAAAATGGTGCAGTAGTGACATGGTAGATGACGTGGCAGATGACGTGGCAGCTCCACTTGAAGTCCAGAAATTAATTCCAAGCCCAGATAATTATTAAACTGCCCTGAAAATAAAAATTGGAATAATTAGATTCAGAAAATTCAAATTAGTTAAAATATGAATTACTTGTCCAATTAAAGCCCAAATAGAAAATAGTGCAGAATATCAACAATTAAGCACAAATCAGAGATTAAAATAAGTATAGAAAGGTAAGAAAATAATGGAAAATAATGACTCATCAATATACTTTTCATGTATTTCTTCATACAAAATAAAAATAAAATAAATAAATAAAAGATGATTTTAGATAAATGAGACGTTTGAATGTGATTATTTAACACCCTAGTGACCACTAATTTGATATAATTTATTGTTATATAATTGAATTAAATAATTTCTATTGCATGTTTTTTTTTAATTTAAAGTTATATATTTAATTATATCAATTCATGTAGTTTACAAATCTATAGTTTTGTTGCTATGTGTTGGAAAGAGAATTCAAATTTTCAAATTCAAATATCTAAGATATTGTTTAGATTTTAAAATTTTTTAATTTATTTATGATATTGTTTAGAGTTAAAATATATTGTATTTATTTTAGAGATTTTGTTTCATTTTTCAAGATTCGGCGTTAGCTCAATAAATAAAGACACTTGAGATAAAAAGAATTATCAACCTATAGAGGGAGTTACCGTCTTAAATGAGAGAGGGGTCATATGAAAGAAGGTTTCAAGTTGGGTTTCTAAGTTTAACCTATAAAACTTGTGAGGATGAATTTTCAAGTTTCACCTACAAAACATGAAATGAGGATTTTCAGGAACATACATGTAATATTGTTTCAATTTGGAGAACATATAGGGTTAGTCTAGCCGCTCAACCAAAGTTAGAACATTCAATAGTGTAATCTATCCCACTTTGTCTTATGGTTAAGATTTTTATACTTGATTGTTTATGGGTTCATGGACTCTAAGAATTTCGAAATTATCTTAACCTACTATCTTGGTCATTAAAGATAAGATTCGGTCCTGATTTTCTAAGATCGAGATAATACCAACCTCATTAAGAGTGTCAAACAAACAATATGTTAAGTTCATATGCTAAGTTATGGAGATCAATTATATTTAGACTTTAGTATGTCATCCATAGTAGAGCCTAACTGTCTTTGTAGGTCCTTCTCGACAAATCTCTCTCGAAATATATTTGAGATGATACAAACACTTTAAGATAATGAACATCTTTGTAGACATAAACATGAAAAATTGAATCATATTAAATGAATTTTGTGTGATGTTATATCTATTTATGATTGTTTTTAATGTATTACTTATCATTGTTGTGCATAAAAGATAAGAAGTTTTTTTTCCAACACTCTATTAGTATTATATATACGAAAATTTTTAGGACTTCTTTAAAACATAAAATGATTATTATTGAAATTTATAAATATAAAATATATACATTATAAAGATTTTTTTTAAAAATTATTAAAAACCAAATAATACAATTTAATTAATTATCCACCAATTCAACTTCTAACATATCATATAATTTAATTAATTATCCACCAATTCACTTCTAACGTATTAATTTAGTATCATGATTAAAATATTAATATTCGTATGACACAAATTGAAATTAGTTTTAGGTGTCTATAACTAAATTAGTCTTAGGCATACACCAAAGTGAGGTTAAAATATTAATATTCGTATGACACAAATTAGTTTTAGAATGGAGAAAAATCCATTTCAATTTTCGAGAGTAGCACGAGGGAAAACATGATCCATTTGAAATACTATGTTGCTATGTTTTGTAAACGACAGAGGACAAAAGCGTCATTGTGTTGAGAAGCGAAAAAGGGGAATGAAACGCAAGGGCGTTTCGGTCACATTGTTTAAAGACAGACAAAGGCTATTAGTTACAATACAGGAGAGAGAAGGGCCTACAAGTACAAATATCAAGTGTCTGTTTCCCAAGACATGAAATGCCGAACATCTCACCCCAAAACCAAAATAAAGTGTCACACAACAACTCCACATCTCACACACTGTCTCTCTCTCTTCTTCTTCTTCTTATTCCACCCACACTCTTCTTCTGCGTCTCTCTCCACAACCAGAACAAGCTCTGGGGAAACCGCAAGAAGAAGAAGAAAAAAACACAAGCCTAACCCATTATGCCATGCTTCACATCACGCGATTCTCTTCTCTTTCTCTCTCTCCTCATCCTCTCTCTCTCCTCCTTCTCTCTCTCCACCGCCGCAAGAGCCTCCTCCTTCCACTCCTTACGTGGCCCAGGTCCCTTTTTTCTCCTCTCTTGCTGACCCGCGTTCAAAGTTTGAATTTTTCTGAAATGGGTGTGTTTTGTTTTCGGTTTTGGCTTCTGGGTGTTCTCTTTCAGATGGCGGTGAGAGAGAGTTCCAGAAGTTGCTACCGTGGGAAACGAGGAGATCCATGGCTGAAGACGCCACGGGCAACACGTCTTTGATATTGGCTCAGAGAAGAACCACAAGGAAGGACCCTACCGATAGCTTTAAGCGTTACACCGGTGGTTGGAATATCAGCAATTCCCACTACATTGCTGTGAGTTCACACCTAACCTCTATGATCACTCATGACGTTTTTTTTTTCTTTCTCCAAATCGTGCTTTTAACGTTGTACTAGCCATTTGTTTCAAAAAGAAATGTTGCCGACACGCTTTGAATTTTTAAGATAATACAAAATTTTGTAATAGTTGAACTAGTCATTTCTTATTTATTGAGAGTTTGTTCTTGATTTTATTGTTTTTGATTTATTGTAACTAATAGTGGAAAGTGTTTCGGAAGGGGTATCTGAGAAAGTGTGTTGTAACTAATTTTGTTGGTTTCTGATGGTTCTAACTCAGAATTTATATGTTGTTTGGAAATATTGTTTTTTGGCTAACTTGGTGTTGTTGGCTTTTGGTGCAGTCTGTTGTTTTTACCGCGGCTCCCTTCTTTGCTGTTGCGGTGGTTTGGTTTGTGGTTTTTGGGCTCACTCTATCCTTAATCTGCTTGTGTTACTGCTGTTGTCCAAGAGAGCCTTATGGTTATTCACGTTTGGCGTATGCTTTGTCATTGATCTTCCTTATTCTCTTCACCCTTGCAGCAATGTATCTCTCTCTCTCTCTCTCTCTCTTTTTGTCTGTCTCTCTATATATGTCATCTATTATGTTATGCTTGTTTGAATTGTTTCATATATGGCTTTTTAGGTTCTCTAAGTTTGTGTGTTTGGTTTTGTTAGAGTTGGATGCGTTCTTCTTTACACTGCTCAGGGGAAGTTTCATGGTAGCACCACAAACACACTGGAATATGTGGTGAGTCAGGCTGACTTCACCGCTGAAAACCTCAGGAATGTGTCAGATTATCTTGATGCAGCTAAGAAAATTGGAGTCGACGCCGTATTTTTGCCGAATGATGTTCAGAAGAACATAGATGAGGTTAAGTCAAAGATTAACTCTTCTGCTACGCAACTTTCCAGCAAGACTGCAGATAATTCAGAGAAAATAAAAGAAGGCATTGATGGGATGTGAGTAGAATTTGAAATCTTTACTTGGTTTGAGGTTTTGAAATGTCTTTTTTTGCTAACAATTGTTTGTTGTGCACTGTAGGAGACTGGCTCTGGTTATTCTTGCTGCTGTTATGCTCTTTCTTGCATTTCTTGGATTCTGTATGTTTTTTTTTTCTTCTGTTTTAGTAGCTGTTTCTGTTTTGATTCTCTTGCTGTATGGTAAAGTTTGTTGTTATTGTCTCATTTGCTTGTGTTTTGTGGTCAATACTTTCTGCAGTATTTTCAATATTTGGGCTGCAAACTCTGGTGTACTTGTAAGTTTAATTAGTTGAGCTTTTTTCTATAACTTTATTACTTCAGGAGTTTTTAATTCTTGATGGGTTTGTCCTGTCAAGTCTCTAGTCAGTGATTCACGTGCTTTCAATTGCTGCAGCTTGGTCATTGTTGGGTGGATTCTAGTTACTTGCACATTTATACTTTGTGGTGTATTTCTCTTTCTTCACAAGTAAGTTCCTTCTTTCTTGCAGAAGTTATATTGGAATTTTTATTTTTCACCTTATTGCCATTGTGGTTGCTTTGCTATCTTTTCTATTACAAGTCCCTCTTTTTTTTTTTTTTTCACCTTGGGACAAATTTGGTGTCTCGGGTCAATGATTTGGTATTGTGCATGTAGGAAGAATGATTAAACAAAATGTGCAACCATGAGTTGTAACGGTAAAGTGTTTTGTAAAAATGGAATTATCATTGGCCTTTCCTTGTACTTTGTTTTGCTTATTCATTAGTAATTGGGTTCATTTTGAGACGTGTGAAAACTGAAAAGCTTTGCTATGCTAAGAACCATCTGTAAATTCTATTAAAACATCACTTGTAAACATCCTAAAGAAGATTGTGTTCTCTCAACTAATGCTCTAACAGTTTGTTCAGTTGAATTGCTTTATGATTTAATAGTTAGATATCATTCTGGAAGGAAACAGGAAATTTGAAGCTGTAAGAAAAAATTAATTGAAATTCTAGATGTTGAAGTTAATGATTTATGTTTTTAAATCAATATAGATCTTACATAGAACAGAATTAATCACTTATGATGCTTGCATGCTTTGATTGCTATGGCTGAAATGGTAAGGGTCTTTTAAAATTTTAAGAATGTCCGAGGCAAAAATAGAGACATTAAGAAGTACATTGTCATATATATATATATATATATATATATATATATATATATATATTTTAGAAATGTGCTGGCTTTATTATTGTTAATTTGTTATGTTTAAGACATGCTTCTTTTTCTGATTGAGAGGGTGAATAGTTAGAATTTGAGGAGCAGGCTTTAGTTACGTATGAAATAACCAATTCGTTGCTTCATTTGTTCTATAGATATATTTTTTTTCTGCTTATTTGGTAGAATAATATGTCAACATAAAAATGTGACAACATCTGGATGAATTATACATGTTTTGGCCCAATAAAATTCTTAGTGAGTGGCAATGGAGGAAAACTAGAAGCAAAACATTTTTTTTTCAGTTAGATGGTTTCCGATGTATTATTGTACATGGGGTTGTGATTTATTTTGTAGATGCAATCAAGATTTGATTCTTGGCGAGTCGTATTTTGCAATCATGATATTAAAACAAAATCTTCCTACATGAGAACCGGAAAAAATGAGATACTTTTTGAATGCTTTTGTAATTTGTTTAGTACTCTGAAGATTTTCAATTTATGAAATTATTTGTGGAAACTCATTTAATCACTTGTCTCTGTATCATTTGATGAAGTCCATTGCTGTCATAATCACTTGTGTTGCACTATATATGACAAAAACTTGTTTTATTGCATCAGTGTGGTTGGAGATACATGTGTTTCCATGGATGAGTGGGTGAAGAACCCTACTGCACATACAGCCTTGGATGAAATTCTTCCATGTGTGGATAATGCAACGGCCCAGGAAACCTTGTTAAGAACCAGGGATGTGACCCACCAACTTGTTCAATTAGTTGACAAGATTATTTCCAATGTAACAAATAGAAATTTCCCACCTGCTGCTGGACCCGTGTATTACAATCAATCCGGCCCCTTGATGCCTCTTCTGTGCAATCCATTTAATCGTGACCTCACAAATCGGTCGTGTGCAACTGGGGAAGTTCCATTGGACAACGCTGCAGAGGTTAGTGACTGTTTTTGATTTTGGAAAGTAAATATATATCCAGTAAAGTGAAGCCTAGCCAGCACTTTCTTGCTGGGTCCCTCTTCACTTTCTTTTTTCCTACCCTAAAATGGTACTGTCAACACATTTGTTTTATGTTTTTTACTTGGCAACATGTTGATGAGTTTGGATACTCATCCAAAGCTATGTTATGAAAAAATCAAGATCTTACCTATAGGTTCAAGGAGAAAGGTTTGTCAGCACACACATAAGTGAACTACTCATTTTAGAGGAGCTAAATTTTGGAGGACACTGTAAAATGGTTTTATTGTAATACCAAACTTAAAATAGAAAGATGAAGTAAGATAAGAAAAAATCCTTTAAATTAATTAAACTTGATGCATAATAGAAGGAGTGAAGGATCAAAATAGAAGATGAAGAAGGCTCACAGGTGTCTTAAAATTGGGTGGGTTTGGTTCACCTCCACATGATCTCGCAAATATTATGTTATTGGGCATGATTCATTCCAGAGTCAACAAAACTATGCGATATAATCATATACAACTACCTTGATCTGAACTACATATTCCTGATGTAAAATGCATGTGTAACATTCAGATTTTGTTTCAAGCAGGTCTGGAAGAATTATACCTGTGAGGTTTCTTCATCCGGCATCTGTAAGACGCCTGGTCGGATGACGCCAACCATTTACGGCCAAATGGAAGCTGCAGTGAATATAAGCTATGGCTTATATCATTATGGTCCATTCTTGGTTGGTTTACAAGACTGCACTTTTGTGAGGCAAACATTCACAGACATCAGCAACGATTACTGTCCTGGTCTGCAGACAAATAGTCAATGGATCTATATTGGTTTGGTTTTGGTATCTGCTGCTGTTATGCTGGCTCTGATCTTCTGGGTCATCTATGCAAGAGAGCGGCGGCACCGTGTTTATACTAAACAGTTCTTGGACAGCTAAATTTGTTGGAGCATAAACTACGTTAGGTACATTATTTATGGTTCTCATGTACATTTGAGTTATAGATTGTACTGAGTTGGTTCTCTTATCTTATGTGAGGTAGAGTTATTCAGCTTATAATTACCTATAATTGAGTAGAGATGTGTGAAAAGTATTCAAGGAAACAAAGTATTGGTGTGTTTTGATGTCAATTTTTTCATTTAAAACACAATGACATTGTTTGATTGAGTTGCTCACTTTGCTTTCTTTCTGTTGTGAGTATTCTGATAAACAAATCAACTAAGTCTTTAACTGATCAAGCTTTTCAGTAGGGATGGCAAAATGGGCCAGCCCGGCCCGTTTTGGCCCGGCCCGCCATTGGCCCACCAAAAACGGGGCG